ATATCCCCAACGAAGACGCGGCACGGAGCCTGGAAGCACAGTTGCAGGGCGCCACCTACTCGGTGGACTCCGTAGAGAAACGCCCCCGCAGGCAACGACCATCTCCACCATTCATCACCAGTACATTGCAACAGGAAGCGGGGAGAAAGCTCCGCTTCACCGCCCAACGCACAATGGCCGTAGCCCAACAGCTGTACGAAGGCCTGAATGTTGGCGCCGATGGCTCGGTGGGTTTGATCACCTATATGCGCACCGACAGCACCAATGTGGCCGAAGTCGCCATTCAGGAGGCTCGCGCGTATATCAGCGATCGCTACGGGAAACAATTTGTGCCGGACAAGCCACGGGTTTACCGGACGCGTTCCAAAAACGCCCAGGAAGCCCACGAAGCAATCCGGCCCACCTCAATCCGAAGGGATCCGCGGAGCCTCGCTCCCTACCTGAGCGCAGAACAATTGCGACTGTACACCCTGGTTTGGGAGCGCATGATTGCCAGCCAAATGGCCGACGCTCAATTGGAAGCGACCACGGTTGACGTCGATGCGCGCTGCCTCGGCCAATCAGATGAAATATTCCGATTCCGGGCCACCGGCTCGGTGCTTCGGTTTGCCGGGTTCAGAGCCGTATACCTGGAAGGGCGCGACGACGTTGTTGATTCGGAAGAGAACGCGCTGCCCGATCTGGCGTCCGGTGACGGACTGATCAACCAGAACCTGGCTGCCAACCAACACTTCACGCAACCGCCGCCCCGGTTTACAGAAGCCACGTTGATCAAGGCGATGGAGGACAAAGGAATCGGGCGGCCCAGCACCTATGCCCCTACCATTGCTACCCTCATTGAACGCGAATACGTGGAACGCGAGCAAACCCGTTTGACTCCGACCAGGATGGGCTTCACCGTCACCGATTTGCTGACCGAGCATTTTGAAGACGTTATGGACCTGAACTTCACGGCTCGAATGGAAGCCGACCTCGACGAGGTAGCCCAGGGAAATCGGGATTGGGTGCCGGTGTTGCGGGAATTTTATGATCCTTTCAGTAAGGCCATCAACAAGGCGGCTGAAAAATTCGCAATCGCCGATCAAACCGATGAAGTTTGCGAAAAATGCCAGCAGCCGATGGCAATCAAAACCGGTCGATTCGGACGCTTTTTGGCCTGTACCGGTTACCCCAAATGTCGCAATACCAAAGACTTGGGCGGAAGAGACCGACGGTGACTCCGAGTCATTCGAGGAAGACGAAACAGAAACAGACGGGTTGCGAGCGCTGCGAAAGACGATTGTGCGTCATAAGTAGGGATCGTTACGGCAGGTTCCTGGCGTGCACCGGTTTCGGCTGCTCGGAGGAAATTGAGACCTTGCGACAACCGTCGAAACCTGATCAAAAAAAGCGGTGTGCCCTGCCCCAAGTGTGGTGGCGATTTGGTGGAACGCCGCTCCCGAAAAACCCGCACGACTGCGTTTTGGGCGTGGGAGGTCGTTCCATGCCGCAGGTAATTATCCCACTTGCGAGTTTCTGGTTAACACTCAGCCCTTGCCAACGCCATGCCCGCAATGCAGCGGCATGTTGGTAGCCGCCGCCAAAGGGCGCGTCTCATGCGTGGACTGCAAGTGGAAAGGGGAATTGCCAGCCGAAATCGGGGAATCCGAACCGGCTGACAAGGAGTTGGCAACGGTTGGCGACTAGAGCGGGCGCTCCGGACGCGCCTATAAACGGCGACAGGGTCTCATGACTCGCTCACTACGGAATGCTGGCACAGGTTTGACCGCAGGTTCTTACCGTAGGCATACGTAGGTGTCTGTCGGCACACCACTACACACCGAATTTACCTGGACGACCTGCACAAATTCCTTGCGTACTGCCGGCAGGAGGGCAGGTTCTTGCAAGACATGGACCGCCAGCTCCTTCGGGATTATGTGGCTCACCTGGCCCTGCGTCGATCCGTACGTGGGCAAAATATCCGGAGGTGTATCGCTCGCTGTGCAGCATTGTACGCATGTCTGACGGCCGTCTTATGCGATACCTTTTACACTATTCCTGGTTCAGGAGGGCTGGTTCACGGCATCTCCGGTTCCTTCCGCGCGGTCATTTCCGGTTAAGGTGCAAAAACCATTGCCTTCGTTTCTCGGTGAACAGGAAACGTCGCGATTGTTGGACGCAACCATGCGTCACATCTACACCTGTGGGCATCGGGTGATCGGGCGTCCGCTGGACGTTCTGTATGCTCGGGACGGAGTCTCAGGTTGGCCGTAGGTGCCACGGTCTCTATGACGTCGGACGACGTGATACGGGCCCGAAGGGAAATACTTCGTACGGTAGGGACACAAGCATTGCGCGATATACGTTGGTGTCCGCGAACCGGCAGCGGATGCTTTGGAAAGATACATCGATGAGGCGCGCCCTCAATTGACCGCCGATTCGACCGAACAGGAAGCCTTGTTTGTGAACCGATACGGCGGCAGGTTGTCCCGTCGGAGTATCGAAAAACTGGTGAGCGGATATTCGGCTCGCGTAGGGCTCCGCGCCGGAACGCATACGCACACCCTCCGGCACAGTTTCGCCAGCCACATGCTCGCCGGCGATGCTGACCTTCGCGTCATTCAGGAATTACTTGGTCACAGCAGTGTATCTACTACACAGATGTATACGCACATCACCAAGCAGGAATCCCGTCGGGCTTACCTCAAGTTCCATCCCCTGGCACGCGAATCGGAAATCGGCGGCGATCCGCCGGATACAGCCGCGCCGTTGGCGCCTGATCCTGACCCGGACCAGTCCTCATCTTGAACTGGTAGCAACTTGACAACGATCCTCGTTTTGCATGGGCCCAACCTGAATGTGTTGGGGCGGCGCGATCCAGATCACTATGGTTCGCTGTCTCTCGATACGATCAATGACCGTATCATGGGCGTCGCTGCATCCATTGGTGTCGACGTGGAATGTTTTCAGTCCAACCATGAGGGAGCGTTGATCGACTATCTGCAGGATTGCTTCGGAAGAATAGATGGCGTGGTTATAAACGCCGGGGCATTGACTCATTACGGCCTGTCGCTAAAAGATGCTCTTACGGATTGCCGTGTGCCTGTCATTGAAGTGCACCTGAGCAATATCCACGCCAGAGAAGAATGGCGCCGGCGATCTGTATTGGCTGATTCCGTTCAAGGCCAGATTGCCGGGCTTGGGTGGAGAGGCTATACTGCTGCTCTGGAAGCACTGGCAGGAATAATATCTGACGACGCACATGATGCGGAATAAGTGCCGGTTGTTCTTGTAATGCAGGAGGATTTTACCTGCGAACGTCGATTGGCCTGGTTTTTTCTAAGGGGATACCGAAATGAGCATCAACTTTAGTGACCTCAGCAAAGGGATGGTGATTGAGCTGGAGAACCAGCCGTGGCAGGTGTTGGATTATGAGCGACACAAGATGCAACAGCGCGCCCCCGTCACCCGGATTAAGATGCGGAATCTCGTCAACGGCACGGTCATCGAGCGGACGTTCCAAAGATACGACACCGCATTCAGTCTAGCCGAGGTCGACCACCGCGACAATCAATACCTGTATACCGACGGTACCCATTATTTCTTCATGGACCAGGAAAATTTTGACCAACATGAGCTCACCGCCGAGCAGTTGGGCGATGCCCTCGGCTATCTAAAAGAAAGCATGATCGTGGAGGTCGTTTTTTACAAAGGAGCGCCCATCAACGTGAATCTTCCCATCCACGTGGAGCTCGCAGTGGTCGATACTCCTCCCGCTTTCAAAGGCGATACTGCCCAGGGAGGCAATAAACCGGCCACCCTGGAAACCGGGTTGCGCATTACCGTACCGATGTTCATTACTCCAGGGTCGATTGTGAAGGTCGATACGCGCAATGCCACCTACTCGGAGCGAGTATCCTAAGCCGTGGTTCGTGGTGGCGCAACGATGCTTTCGCCTGTGGTCTATTCGGTCAAAGATGTGGCCGGATATCTGAAAGAAAAGCTGGAATCTGACAATCTCCTGTCGAACCTCACTGTCCAGGGTGAAATCGCGAATCTTCGTACCGTTGCCAGCGGACATTCATATTTCAGCCTGCGGGGCGACGGCAACAGTATCAGATGCGTCATGTTTCGCGGCCGTGCCGGCCAGGAATATCTTGAATCTGGTCAGGAAGTGCTGGTCGGTGGAACCTTCACCTTTTACGGCCCGTCCGGTGAAGCCAATCTGCAGGTAGCCGCGGCGCTGCCAGTCGGTTCGGGAGCGCTGGCGCTGGAGTTGGTGCGGCTCCGCCAGCAGCTGGAATCTGAAGGATTGTTCGATCCGTCTCGAAAGCGTCCGCTACCGGAATTTCCAGGCGTAATCGGCGTGGTAACCTCCCCCAGCGGAGCGGTTTGGCAAGACATACAAAACGTCGTGAAACGACGGTTTTCCCCATCGCTGAGCTTCGGTTGTTCCCCACAGCGGTGCAGGGCGAACGCGCCGCAGGCCAAATTGCTGCCGCAATCTCCCGGCTCAATGATGAAGGCGCCGCTGACGTCATCATCGTGGCCAGAGGAGGCGGTTCCCTCGAAGATCTTTGGTGCTTCAATACCGAAGAAGTCGGCCGGTCAATTTTCGCCAGCGGCATACCGGTCGTATCTGGAATCGGGCATGAAACTGACCACACCATCGCAGATGATGTAGCGGACAGGCGCGCTCCCACGCCATCCGCCGCAGCAGAACTGGCTACTCCGGATAGATTGCAGTTGCTATCCAATATCCTGGGCGGATTGCAGCAATCGGAATCGGCGATGACAAACCGAATCGCCCGCCTGCGGAACTCGTGCGCATTGACCAATCAACGACTGGTTCGAAGCGCTCCGGACGTGGGGTCCCGGCGCCGTCAGGTTGATGATCTCGCCGATCGGTCCGCGGCTACCTTATTGCGGCGCATCGACCTTAAGAAACGGGAAATCGCGACTCTAGGCGCCAGGTTGAATACACTGGACCCTGCCGCCACTTTGCGTCGCGGTTTTGCCGTCGTGAACCGCTACCAAAACGCCGCCGTAGTCACCGATCCCGGGCAGGTTCCACCCGGAGATTTGTTGTACATCACAGTAGCTGGCGGTACGCTGGACGCACCGCCGCAACACCCCAACCGGAGCGCTCATCCCCGGAAATAGGGCTTGCCCCGGCGGTAGCCAGGATCGAACCACCATCAGCAACTACCGACTCAGACAACCAGGCCGGAGAATGTCCAACCCCATCTGATGATTCCGCCCGACCCATTCGCCGCCGTCGCACCCGGCCGAACCCGCCACCGGCCATGCGGCCCCTCCTGTGAGTGAGGGGATCGGTTATAATCACCATGGACCAGTCGAGTGATCCCGGTCGGGAAGAATAAGCGAATTGGCCTTTGAAGAGGCGTACCGGCGTTTGGAAGACACAGTTTCTCTCGCCTGAATTGGGTGTTGAGTAGTAATGTCCCTCTCCGATCAGAACGCTCTATCTGGCTGGGTCGGATTGGCGCGGGCGCAGAAACGCTGCCAGCAATTATTATCTGAAACTGAAATGAGAATCAGTCAGGCGGGCGCGGGATCAGACCTCGTAGATATGCGCCGAGAGGCAGACCCCGGTGGCGAGGCCGGCGCCTGGGATGCTCCCTTCGCCCCGGAACCCGACGACCCGATGTTCTGAAGACGATCCCGAATTGTGAATTTGTTCAGGTCGAAATAGTCCAGTGTTGCGCATAGGTTGGTTTTCAACAGGACGCGGCGAGGGATCTCGCAGTTTATTGAGATTCGTCGATCGCGCTATCTCCGATCATCGACTGAACGCAACCATAGAGTTCGTTTTCAGCAACCGCGAATCTGGCGAAGCCCCCGGCTCAGATGAGTTTTTCGAGTTGGTACGGTCTCTCGCGCGTCCGCTGGTGACACTGTCGTCCAACCGGTTTCGTCGGGAACACGGCGGGGGCGCCATGAGCCGGCACCGATCGGACTTCGACCGAGATGTCATGCGATTGCTGGAACCTTATACTCCGGACGTGTGTGTCCTGGCCGGGTACATGTTGATATTCAGCCCCGAGATGTGCCGCCGTTTCCCATTGCTGAATCTGCACGGAGCTTTGCCCAATGGTCCCACCGGCACGTGGCAGTCTGTGATATGGAGCCTGATCGAATCGAAAGCGTCCCAAACCGGGGCGATGATCCATCTCGCTACCGAGGATGTCGACCGCGGCCCGGTATTGTCCAACTGCAGTTTCCCGATCGTGGGACAGTCGTTCGACGATGCCTGGGAAACCGTGACTGGACGCACGGCGTCTGCCATTCAGGCTGAAGAAGGAGAAGCCAACACCCTGTTCTGCCGGATTCGCGCGGAGGGACTGCGCCGCGAACCTCAACTCATGCTCGAGACTCTGCGGGCGGTAGCGGACGGAAGGCTCCAGGTACAGCCGGGAACGGCGCTCGATGAGCTAAGCGCTCCCCTGTCAGATCGGTATCCGGACGGCCTTCCGCTTACCGAGGAAATAGAGAAGGTAATCAGACCGGAAATCTAGACGGTGTGCGCCCGTCAGGCTGATTTCTTGCGTGATTCCCGCTCCGCTTGCGCCAACGCCGTCTCTAGCGAAATATAGCGCCCGCCGCCCGTGCGATATAATCGCGGTGACGCCTCTCGATTGATCGACTCCGCGTGCACCACGCATCGGTCGATATCCGAGAGCGACGGAAGCTCGTACATCACTTCGAGCAGGGCATCCTCCACGATATGGCGCAAAACTCGCGCGCCCGTATGGTACGACAACGCCCTTTCGGCTGCCGCCACCAGCGCTTCCTGAGTGAACTCCAGCCTCACCCCGTCCAGGCGAAACAGCTGTTGATACTGCTTGACTATGGCGTTTTTCGGCTTGACCAATACTTCCACCAACGCCTCTTTGTCCAGCGGCTGGAGAGTCGTAACGACTGGCAATCGCCCGACCAGTTCGGGGATAAATCCGAATTCGAGCAAATCTTCAGGTGTGACCTTCTCCAACGTGCCGCAATTCGCTGCGCCGGAATCGTTCCGCCCTCCATTGTGCGCCAGGAATCCCATGGCAGAGCCAATCGTCAATCGCCTGGTGGTTATCTCCTGCAAACCATCAAAAGCGCCACCGCAAATAAAAAGAATGTTGCGCGTATTGATCTGCAACATCTCCTGGTGCGGGTGCTTGCGGCCTCCCTGAGGCGGCACGTTGGCGGTGCAGCCCTCAATAATCTTCAACAATTCCTGCTGGACGCCCTCGCCGGCAACATCCCGCGTTATCGAACGGTTCACGCCTTCCTTGCGCGCGATCTTGTCCAACTCATCGATGTAAATGATCTGCTCAGCGCGGGCGATGTCCAGTACGGCAGCCTGGCACCTGGATTAGACGGGAGAGAAGGATGTCATCCACTCTCGCCACCCCACCACACCAAAAGCTAGCCGATTCAGTCAGGGAAGTGGCATCACAGATGGCAAAAGGGACGTCCAGGGAACGGGCTAATGTTTCAGCCAGTAGTAACGTGTTCCGACACCGTCGGCCGATAATCAAATGGTGGATTTCTGAACCTCGAGTATCGAGCATATCGCTTCGCTTTCTGATGCGCTGTTGAACTGATGATGTAGACCGCCACAGACAGCGTTTTCTTGGCCTTGTCTTGACCAATGACGTATTCGTCGAGATTGCCGTAAATTTCTCTCGGTACCGAAATGTGAGGTGCCGATCCCACCGGTTCGGACGGCGTTTTCGCCGGGTCGGTGGTTGTTCCGTTGGATCGACCACGGCCGGTTTTTGACGGACTGCGCCTCTGTTCACTGCGTTCCGCCACATGCGCAGCCAGTTCGCGAACACAGTCGAAGCAGATTCCGCCCCGGGGCTGACCCGGAGGTCGCAGGAGTTTATTTTGCGGAAAAAGGTGACCGCAAAATGAGCACCGAAGGTTATTGCGGCTCGGGTTACGATTCCCGGTGGTCATTGTTTGCGGGCCAAACTACTACTTCGGTTGGAAACGCTTGCATCTACGCTGCTTCGGCCTCGGTCTCTTCGGTTTTCAACCCGAGTATTTCATCCACGATACCGTACTCAATCGCTTCGTCGGAAGTAAGGAAAAAGTCCCGATCGGTGTCGTCGGCAATTTTCTCGATAGGTTGGCCGGTAGCAACAGCCAGGATGTCGTTCAAACGCTCTTTCAGGCGCACGATTTCCTTGGCCTGAATTTCGATATCTGCGGCTTGACCCTGGAAACTCCCCACGTTGGGTTGATGCATGTGTATCGTGGAGTTGGGCAGGCAATACCGTTTCCCTTTGGCCCCGCCTGACAACAGGATCGTGGCCATGCTGGCGGCAGTTCCGACACAAATCGTCGATACTTGCGAGTTTATCAGGCGCATCGTATCGAGAATGGCCAGCCCCGAAGCGATGTAACCGCCCGGACTATTGATGTACAGGCTGATATCCCGATCGTGATCTTCCCGTTCCAGATAAAGCAATTGGGCGATAATTACATTTGCCACCTGGTCAGTAATCGGAGTGCCGAGGTAGATAATGCGCTCGCGGAGCAACAGCGAGTAGATATCGAACGCACGCTCCCCCCTGGGTCCTGTTTCAATGACCATGGGGACGATGTTGGTAGGTTGCAGTAAGGGTGAATCTTCAAAGGGAGCGGCCATTCCGGTCTCCTGTTCTGGGCGCGATTGAGTGCCGATTATAGAGGATTTGATCAAGCGGCGGATCGAGTCAAAATGTCTGGAAGTTCGGTTAATACATGGTCGATAATTCCGTATTCCACGGCAGTCTCGGCGTCCATCCAGAAGTCCCGGTCGGAATCTCGCGACACTTTATCGAAAGGTTGATTACAGTTCTCAGACAAGATGGTATTTAACCGCTGGCGCAAACGCAAAATCTCTTGCGCGGTGATTTCGATATCCGAGGCGGAGCCTTGGATGCCGCCCATCACTTGGTGAATAAGTACGGTGGAATTGCGTGTACAGTACCGTTTGCCTTTCGCTCCACCGGACAACAAAACAGCTCCCATGCTGGCCGCTTTGCCGATGCAAACGGTGGACACGTCCGGTTTGATAAGTTGCATAGTGTCGTAGATCGCCATTCCGTCCAGAACCGACCCGCCAGGCGAGTTAATGTACAGGTGGATGTCTTCTTCGGGGTTTTCCCATCCCAAATACAACAAAAGTGACACGATGGAGTTGGAAACATCATCATCTACCTGGGTTCCAAGGTAGATGATTCTGGCCTGGAGCAAAAGGGAATACGGGTTGAAGGCACGTTCGCCTTCCTGGGTCGGTCGGATGATTCCCGGTATCACATTGCTGGGCAACACAGGTCCCGAGTTTTTGGGGAGGTGCAACATTGCTGGTAGGTCTCCTGAGTATGAGTGCGGGTACGATTCAGGCTTGAGGCTCGTCGTCGGATTCATTGGCGGTGTCGGTGTCGGCAACACCCGTTGCTTCAACTGCATCGGCGTCTTCGGTATCAACATCGCTCTCGCGTTCTTCTTCCGTTGGTTCAACTGATTCGTCTTCCAGGTTCCCGAGCGCAATGTCCGTCAAACGGTCCATTACCAGTTTGCTGTGCAAAGACGATCGAATGCTGTCGCGGGTGGAATCCAGCCCCAAGAATTGCTGCAAGTTTTCCAGGTTGGCCTGCTCTGATTCTTCGCTGGACAACCCGATCAGTCTGTCGGCCTCTGATTGGACATCTTCATCAGATACCTCGATCCCTTCAACTTCAGCCAGCTTGCGCATCACAGCCCGCCGACCAGTCTGCGTTCCGCATTCGGGCGCATCTCGTCGCGGAATTCCTCCAGTGACTTACCTAGGAATCGCAGGTAAGTATTAAGATCCAGGTTCTGCTGCCTGAGCATGCGGTCACGTTCAGATTCCATCGATTCCAGTTCCCGCTCGTACAGGATGCGAAGCGTTAACGATAGCAACCTCGCACAGGGCTTCCAGGCTCTGTTGTTCCAATTGGCTCCGGGCCGCCGCCTCGGCCTGATGGTCAGGGATTCGCGGATACTGTCCTGGAGAGCCGTCAGATCATCAAACCCTTCTCCAACCGATTTGGCGAAGTCGTCATCGATGGCCGGGAGGTTCTTCTCTTTCACCGACCGGCGAGACCACCTGACATACTTCTTACAAGGCATACTGTTCTCTGAGGGGACATCTTCGGAATCGTGACGCGTATAAAGTCACGGTTTCTCTCTCTGCATTACGATCAGGTGGGAGCGCACCGGAACCGACTCCGATACGTATCATTCACTCTTCAGGCACGTACTCCACGTCCTCGTCTTCCACCACGACTTCCTCGTCGATGATTCCGTTGACATCGATGTTGAGACGGTCGCCATACTGCACCGGGCGGTCGACTGGTTCCCACACTGCCTGTTCCTGCCGGATCCGTTCAATCACGCCATCAACGTCTTCAGCGCTGACTTCCGTTGTCTCGGATTCGACCCGAATCGTCCGGTAATCTCCCAGGTCAACCGATGGTTCCAGCGGGATCGTGGCCGTAAACGAAACCGGCTCCATATCCGTTATTTCGATGCTTGGTTCGGCAAAAGCATCCACGTCCTGATCTTGCAGAACCTGGTGCAAGGTTTCAGGAACCAGGAATTCCAGCGCTTCCTGAACCAACGCAGTGCGGCCGATCATCCTTTCTACGATATATCGCGGGGCTTTACCCCGTCGAAACCCAGGAACATTGATTCTAGAAACGGCACGCCGATATGACCGTTCGACGAACGGGTTTTCGTCTTCTTCGGCCATCTCAACCGTGAGGGTTACTTCGATGGGGGATGCATTGTCTCTGGTGACCTTCACCGCTAATTCACTCCAGCGCGCAAATGATTCACAAAATGCACCGGGCAGGGGCGGTCGACGCCGGCCTGCCCGGGATGGATTCTGAGTATAGCACAACCACAGATAAGGCGGAAGTTGGCACGGCCCCCTGGATTATCGCCTTACGTCAGTACGGCGAACGACTGCCAGTTGTTACGGCAGTTTGTCGTTGATGCACAGTCGGACCCGCCTGACATCTTCAAGCACCGCGAGCCAGAACCCAGAGTCAGCTCCACTAACCTTCCAACGAGCACCCTCACGCCATCCTGGGCGCCATTTTCCACCACACTTGAAATTTAGACCAATCTTGGTAGTTTACAAAAATCATGAAACATCGCACATTTTATAGCAGGCGTTGTCACCTGCGCCTTTGTTACATTGCCACCAGCAAACTCGAAATGCCCTCGCGATGGAAATGGTGCGCGCATGGGCTAGTATCGTCAGCCCCATCGTTGACTTGCGCGGTTGAGTTCCGGGACCAGTTCATGCATGAGGGCATCAAAATTTCCGTTTGGTGAATGTTGGACGATAGTGACATCCAAACTGACACCAATTGATTAGAAGCGTAAATGACCTTGCTTGAAACGCAAATTGAGCAACCAACGTACTTTACGTCGTCGGCCAGGTTCGTACGCCGGGAACACGGAAATATGCCAACCAACCCAGACGAAAAAGACCGCATCCATCATGCTCCGGTGATGGTGTCCGAAACCATGGAGTATCTGGGAGTTCGATCTGGCGGTACGTATATCGACGGCACCGTGGGCGAAGGCGGGCACACGTTGGCGCTACTTGATCTCTGCTCCCCACAAGGCACTGTGCTTGCCATTGATCGGGACCCTCGGGCGTTGGCCGTTGCCCGCCAGCGTTTTACGCGTTTCGGGAACCGGGCGATTCTCGCCCACGGCAGTTACGCGGAGATGGATCGCATCGCGGGGCAATTCTCCATCACGTCGGTGAGCGGGGTTTTGCTGGATTTGGGATTCTCTTCGCGCCAGATTGAAGTCGATGGCTACGGGTTGTCTTTTCAAAGTGACGAACCCCTGGATATGCGTTACGACCCCGTGGGAGCCACGGCTGCGGATTACGCCAACCGTACCCAGGAGTCGGAACTGGCTGACCTGATCTACCAGTTCGGAGACGAACGTCGCAGCCGTGCCATCGCCCGGGCAATCGTCGCCAATCGTCCTGTAACCACCACCGGGCAACTGGCAGACGTAATTAGCCGAGCAGTTGGAGGACGCCGTGGTGGCATCCACCCGGCTACGAGAACGTTTCAGGCGTTACGGATAGTAGTGAATCAGGAGCTGGACCAGCTCACCATGGGTTTGGACGTGATTACTGACCTGCTGGAACCGGGAGGGCGTGGCGTAATCATCAGTTACCACAGCCTTGAAGACCGCATCGTCAAGACCTGGATCGACCGCGCGACAGCCACCTGTATCTGTCCCCCCGCATTGCCCGAGTGCGTTTGTAACCACGTTCCCACGATGCGTGCGGTGCGCCGAAGAGTCGTCCGCCCGTCAGGCCAGGAAATCGCGGGCAACCCCCGCAGTCGCAGTGCGAAGCTTCGAGCCGTAGAGCGCATCTGAGACCCGTTTATTGCCCTCCTCAGGTATCAACCCTCCAAACCGTTCGACTACGACCACGAATGGAATCACATATCTATCACACGAATTGCACAAAAAGGATTTAGCAGATGCCAAGGGAACCAATTTACGCCGCAATCGATATTGGTACCAATAAGGTTTTCTCCGTCGTGGCCCGCTTGGGATCTGAAGGTGAACTGAAACCGTTGGGTACGGGCTCGGCGCCGTCATTGGGCGTGCGTCAAGGGACTATTGACGATTTTGCTGAAGTGCGGGAGTCAATACGCGACAGCCTGAAGGAATGTTTCAGGTATGTCGGACGCAATCCGGTGAACGATTTTTTCGCCGTCGTGAACGGCGATCACTTGATCAGCGAAAATTCCCGCGAAATGCTGGGCGACGATAACGAATTGCTCACCGTCAACGAGAAACATCTCCGTTCACTGATGAACGGAACGTCGGGAAACTATCAGGATCAACTTGATAGCCGAAGCGAACAGGTACTGCACATCATCCCCATGCGGTACCACCTGGACGGGACCTCGGGTGTGCGAAATCCGACTGGCCGGCACACCAACGAACTTCAGCTGGAAGCCCACATCGTCAGGGGAAAATCGGTTCCCATGGGCAACATCGTCCGCGCCCTGGAGATGTGCAAAATCCAAGTGGAGGGATTGGTATCGCACCCCCTGGCAACGGCAGAGGGCACGCTCACCGCCGATGAAAGGGAAATGGGTGTAGCCGCCATCGACATCGGCGCCGGGACGATCAAAATCGCGTGCTACCGGGAAGGTACTCCGTGCTATTCGTCCGTAATACCGATGGGTGGTAACCAGTTAACCCGCGATATGGCGATTGCCATGAGAGTGCCTTTCCAAATGGCAGAAGACATGAAGATTCAACACGGGCACGTTCTGCCCGAGGAGTTGTCTCCAGACGAAGAAATAGTAATGCCAGCTACCCAGGTCCACCCCAAACGGATCGTTCAGCGTCAAGAATTCTGTGAACCACTGTACCTGCGGTCTCTGCAGATGTTGAAACTGATTCAGCGGGAATTATCCCACGCCGGAATGGATATCGCTCCCGCGGGCGGTGTCGTTTTGACGGGTGGAGGTTCTCGCATGCCGGGATTTGCCGAAATGACCGCCCGCGGCCTGAGGACGCAGGTTCGGATCGGAGTGCCCCTGTGGTACGCCGGGCTACCCGAATCGTTGCGCCAGCCAGAGTACGCAGCGGCATTGGGCGTGTTGCAATGGGCGGTAAAGCACCGAAACCAGCCTGATCGGGGCCGAGTTCGAGGAGAGGGAGATCGGAACTGGTCACCTGGTTCGTTGCTGCGCCGCCCATTCTCGCGATCCGGCGCCCGTCCATCGGGCAGCTAATAGCGCCGACCCGGTCTGCGCAACCGCCGACGTTGGTTTCGCGCTCCAGCTAACCCTCAAACACCTGAACACCATTCCACCAGAAACAATACGCCAATCAAACAACCACCAGAAAAATATCAACCAGGAGGACCAACAACGATGATTTTCCCCGACAACTCCGCATCCTGGGAGCCCGACACGGGATTCGACGAAAGCGACGGCATGATTCCTGAGATCGGCCGCGGCGTCCCACTCATTAAGGTTCTGGGTGTGGGCGGGGGCGGATCCAACGCGGTCAGCCGGATGTACAAAGACAAACTCCCCGTTGTCGAATACTACGCATTAAATACGGACTCGCAGCATTTGTCCCGGTGCGATGTGCACTATCGTATCTCCCTGGGCCGAAATCTCACCCGCGGCCTGGGAGCCGGCTCTCAACCAGAATTGGGACGCCAGGCTGCAGAAGAGTCCCGCGGTGACATTGAACAGGCGGTTCGCGGATCCGACATGGTTTTCCTCGCGGTCGGTATGGGTGGAGGAACCGGCACGGGAGCGGCGCCAGTGGTCGCCCAGATCGCCAAGGAAAGCGGAGCGCTAACCATCGCGGTGGTAAGCCGCCCCTTCGGATTTGAAGCCCAGACACGCCGTCGCAACGCTGAGGAAGGCCTGGAGCGGTTGCGCGACCACGTAGATACGATGATCGTGATTCCCAACGACCGCCTGCTGGCTTTGAACGACGAACAATCAGATTCCTACTCGTGGGAAGACGCCCTGAAATTGGCGGACTCGGTACTGCATCAGGGCATCACGGCCATCGCAGAGGTGGTTACCGTCCCCGGGGAAATCAATGTGGACTTCGCCGACGTCAAAACCATCCTCACCGGGGCCGGCCAGGCATGGCTGTCCATCGGCCGGGGCCGGGGACAGGGACGAGCTAAAGAGGCCGCCCGACAGTGTACGGAGAGCCCCCTGCTTGACATCTCGCTCGAAGGCTCGCGACGCATCTTGTTCGTACTCACGGGAGGCAACAATCTGTCGCTTCAGGAAGTGCAGGAGGCGGCCTCTGTGGTCGAAGACCTGGCGGATCCCGATGCCAATATCATCTTCGGAACCAGCCGGGACCCCCGGTTGGACGACGAAGTGAAGATGACCATGGTTGCTGCCGATTTCCCGGTGGATTCGCCTCAGGCGGAAGACGACATATCGAAACTGCTCGGCGAAATGGATGTTCCAGACCGTCGCGATTACGATTTGCCGACTTTCCTCCAGCATCGGCAAAACCGCAGGGGATTCTACCGCTAAAAGCGCGATTAACCTTCCCCGGGTTACGGCCCCCTCTCCGAATTGGAAAGGGGGCCGTTTTCGTTAAACGGCGTTAAATCGGCGCGTAATCGTCAACCTTTGCCGATCATCGGTGAGGGCCGTGGTCAGGTGCTGCAAGATCGCTAACAATTGCTGGAAATCTGCATCCTCGTTCAAATTGACAGGGCAAAGTCCCCCAAGTTATATTTCCGCCCACAACAAATTGTAGTATTATTGGCCAAAAGCACAATATATGCTATTCTCAAAAATTATTTGAAAAATCAACCAAATATCGGACCTGCAAATGAAATGCCCCTATTGTGAAGAAAACCAAAGCAAGGTCACCGATTCCCGTGACACTGAAATCGGCATTCGCCGCCGCCGCGAATGCCAGGCATGCAACAACCGGTTTACAACGATCGAAGTCGTCAGGATGACCGCGATGCAGGTAGACAAACGCGACGGCCGCCGCCAGGAGTTCAGCCGGGATAAACTACTGGCCGGAATCAACATGGCCTGCACGCGCAGACCCATTCCACGGCGGGACATCGACAAGTTGGCAGATGACATCGAGGCAGAATTGCAGCGTTCCGGGAGCGGTGTGGTCAAGTCCCGCGACCTCGGATTGATGGTACTCGACCGTCTGCGTCTCCTCGATGAAGTAGCCTATGTTCGCTATGCTTCGGTGTATTACGACTTTCAGAATGCCACCGACTTTGAGGAGCAGGCCAGGTCCTTCCAGCTCGGCCAACCCGAACCCTTGATCGGGCTGGCTGCGGTCGAAACACGCCGGCCACGCCGACAATCGCCCACTCGCCGCAACCGGTCGACCGGTCGCCCGTAAATGACCGATCATCAGATCCAACCAACTTTGCGAATTAGGGCATCACTGCATTGCCACCATCGCAGTGTGCCCCGGTTCAAACTGAACCCACAAGCTCGCCACTTACCCCAAATTTCTATGGAGGTGTTCAACACCATTATGAGCAGCAGCGTTCAGTACTCCGCCTTTACCAGGCTGTTGACCCACAACAATCGGGTCCACGACATGGAGGAGATGCTGCGGAAGATGTGGGTCCCGTCTGACTGGCAAGTCAATGACGAGGACGTAAGTGGCTCGTGGATACCCAATCCCTTCTCCGAATTGCAAGACGACATGGATCGCGAGGCCCGGGCCTGTTTGGTCAGTTGCTGGGCAGCATTGCCGGCGCCGCGGGAGGAAGATGACCTGTTTGCGTGATTCATTATCGGTCTGAAACAGCGGTCGAGGCGGAAGCTTTCTTGGCAAACATTGGGAATCTCCCGTCTTCGACCCAACGTAAAATCAATATAACGACGACCGATAACGCCGAATCTGTGTCTATTGCTTCCGTTCGAAGCGTACAATCTCGGAGTTTTTACATGCACAATTCTGTCCAGTACAAAGTAGAAATCAATTGCGGACCATCCCCCAGCGGGACCGAGTCGTATATCGCCCGCCAGCTGGGAGCGAATTTCCCGATAATTGGTTGCCAAACCACTCAAAACGGTTTGACTATATTCCTCAAAGCCGCGCACCCGGTTGCTGATGGCGCGTTGAAAGACATGGCCGATCAGATCACCGAAATACTTTCCTCACTGGGAATTACCATGAATTCGGGAGTAATTCGCCGAGTCTGGAAGCGCTCCGTTTCCGTCCCTGGTGTATTCGACCGTGTGCAGAACGTGGCGGCCACACTAACGGGATTCGACCTCAGGCCGGCGCGGGAAGTGCCAGTCCTCTATTTTTACAAGGGGCTGCGTTTTGATTTGGATTTGTCAGCTCGCATGGCGCGCACGAATCCAGCCAGGCAGGTGAACGTTTATTAGATTTTGGAATGTTTGGGACCGGACGTTGATACTCCCCGGTTCCAGATGTAGCTTTAAGAAATGCTCCCCGATGGGCGAGCAATCAACGTGAATATGGAAACCAAACAAAAATTAATCAAATTGGGACTTGGTGTGTACAAAGCAGGGAGGACATCGTGGAGGTAGCAGCGAGAAGCGCCAGCTTGAACAATGGTCAGGATTCGCCCGCATCCATCAGGGGCCGGATTCGGGATGCAATGGTAGCCGCCGGTATTGCCCGGTCTCATAACGAGCGGGATGGGCATCTCACCGATAACGCCAAAGTGGTATTACAACGGCGCTACTTGTCCAAAGACCGGGAAGGCAACGTTCTGGAAGACCCGGACGGCATGTTCCGTCGCGTCGCCCACAACCTCTCTCAATCCGACCTGCTGTACGGCGAGTCAGAACATGACCGGCGCGATACCGAGCAGCGTTTCTACGAAGTAATGCAAAAGCTGGAATTCCTGCCCAACTCGCCCACGCTTATGAACGCCGGCCGCGAGCTGCAACAACTTTCCGCGTGTTTTGTGTTGCCGGTGGAAGATTCATTGGAATCCATATTCACCAAGGTCAAGCAGACTGCGCTCATCCACAAAAGCGGCGGTGGAACCGGATTCGCCTTTTCCCGATTGAGGCCCGAGGGCGACGTTGTGGGCTCCACCGGCGGCGTCGCATCCGGCCCGGTCAGCTTTATCAACGCCTTTGATGCCGCAACCGATGTGGTGAAACAGGGTGGCACGCGCCGCGGCGCTAACATGGGCATACTGCATGTCTCTCACCCCGACATCCTGTCCTTCATATCCTCCAAAGAAGACGGAAAACACCTCACCAACTTCAATATCTCGGTCGCAGTAACCGAGGATTTCATGCAGAGGGTCCGGCTGGACCAGGAATACGACCTCATCAACCCTCGTACCGGACAGGTCGTGAGACAACTCAACGCCCGCGAAGTATTCGAACGCATGACCGAGTTGGCCTGGCGGACCGGCGACCCCGGTATAGTGTTCCTGGACCGTATCAACCGAGACAACCCCAACCCTCAATTGGGCGATATAGAGTCCACCAATCCATGCGGCGAACAACCACTGTTGCCTTACGAATCCTGCAACCTGGGTTCGCTGAACCTGGCCCGGATGGTGACGTACACGAATGACGACGTGAAGATCGATTGGGATCGCATGGCGGAAGTGAATTACAACCGCCGTCCACATGCTGGACAGCGTCATCGACATGAACGAGTATCCAATCCCTGAAATTGCAGAGATGAGCCGCAAAACACGGCGCATCGGCTTGGGTGTAATGGGCTGGTCCGACCTTTTGATCCAGATGGGTATCCGCTACGACAGCGATGCAGCGCTGCAAATGGCCGACCAGGTTATGCAGTTTATCCAACAGCAAACCTACCGGGCATCGGCAGAGCTTGCCAGCCGGCGCGAAGTGTTCCCGGAATGGTCTCGTAGCGTTTACAATCGCGGCTCCAACCCTCAACCCATGCGAAATTCTGCGCCGGTGACCATCGCTCCCACTGGAACCATCAGTATCATTGCCGGAGCGTCCAGCGGCATCGAGCCATTGTTCGCCCTCTCCTACGTTCGCAACGTGATGGACAACACCAGGCTGGTCGAAGGCAACGCGTACTTCGAAGCCGTGGCGCGCCACGAAGGTTTTTACTCCTCTGAATTGATGGAAGAGTTGGCAAATTCGGGTTCGTTGGATGACCTGGATGTGCCCGGATGGGTCAAGGACGTGTTCCGCGTTTCACACGACATCAACCCACAATGGCATGTCCAGATGCAGGGAGCGTTCCAGACCTATACCGACAACGCCGTTTCCAAGACGATCAACTTCCCCCACGATGCAACCGTAGCCGATGTGGCAGCGGCATACCAGGGCGCTTACGATTTGGGCTGCAAAGGAATCACCGTTTATCGGGACGGCAGCAAGGCAGACCAGGTGCTTAGTACGGGCTCAGCCAACAGGGCAACCGCGCCAGAATCCAACCCCGTTGTCATCGAAGTACCAAGCCCACGCGTACCCAGGGAGCGGCCCCGCCAAACTCAGGGTATTACCGAACGGGTCCGCACCGGTCATGGCAACATGTACGTCACGGTAAATATGGATAATCAGGGGCAGCCGTTCGAGGTATTCGGCACCATGGGCAAAGCCGGCGGTTGCGACGCCGCGCTATTGGAAGCCGTTTCGCGGCTAGTATCCCTCGCATTGCGGGCCGGCATCGACACCAGCGAGGTTTCGCAGCAATTGAGTGGTATCACCTGTTGCCCCGCCTGGGATGACGGCACCCTGGTTCGTTCCGGTCCGGACGCCGTCGCCATAGTCCTGGACCGCATCACCAGCGGCGTCTCCAACGAATCCAACGCGTCTGACGGTGTGCAACTGACTTTGCCCACCGGCGCTCCGGCTTTCGGCGGAGATGGACCCGAGGTTCGCCCGTGGATGCCGCCGCAGCCAAATCTGAGCACGCATCCCGCGGTAGGCAAGGCTAACGGCAACGGGGCGCCCGTTCCACAAACCCTGTCGGGCACCTACGCCGGGCGCTGCCCCGAGTGCAATGGCGGAGTCGTCAGCCAGGAAGGATGCCTGACGTGTTATTCCTGCGGATGGAACAAATGTGAGTAGTTGACCAGTATCGCCGGCCCGCCCAGGTCGCGTTGAGACTGTGGCGGGTCGTTCGTGTGCGGTAATCCAACGTCTCAAACGCACCGTTGCGGTCGCATCCTGTAACCAGTACTATTGTTGGCACACATATTCCAGTTCCTCACCGTTTCGCCGCGAGAGCCATACCATGACAGAACATTCCAACCTGGACACCGACCGCCCCGCGATAGCCATCACCATGGGCGACCCTTGCGGTATAGGCCCGGAGGTTGTGGTGAAGGCTCTGTCCGATCCCAATGTCTACAACATGTGCCGGCCGGTGGTGGTGGGAAATATTTACGCCATGGAACAGGCGGTCAAGATGACGGGGCTGCCCCTGCGCATTCATCGTACCGATGACCTCGGCGGGGCAGGAACCAATCCGGGCGTGGTGGATGTCGTCGACATCGGCAACCTGAACGCCGAAGACATCACCGTTGGCCAACTCAGCGTGGCGTGCGGGAAAGCTGCCATGGAATGGGTCAGCAAAGCCGGACAGTTGGCGATGGCCGGAGTGGTAGATGGACTGGCCACAGCTCCGCTGAACAAAGAAGCAGCGGCTATGGCCGGTTACGAAGCCATCGGACACATGGAACTGCTGCAGGAATTGTCCGGGGCCAAAACAGTAGCGACGATGTTAATCGCTAAAAACCTGCGAGTTGTCCACCTGACCACCCACCGATCTTTGCGAATCGCCTGCGACTACGTCAAAAAAGATCGGATCCTCGATTTTCTGCGCCTTACTGACGATAACTTCAGAAAGTGGGGCTTTGCCGAACCGCGCATCGGAGTTGCGGCATTGAATCCTCACGGCAGCGACGGCGGCCTGCTCGGCAACGAAGAGGCGGAAGAGATTGCCCCGGCGGTGGCTGCGGCCCGATCCGAGGGCATCAATGCCACCGGACCCATTCCCGCCGATATTATTTTTCACCAGGCAATCAACGATCGCTACGACGTAGCGCTGTGCATGTACCACGACCAGGGTCACATCCCGGTCAAGGTATACGGTTTCGAAGAGAGCATCACGGCCAACCTGGGTTTACCGTTCGTCAGAACGTCTGTCGATCACGGCACCGCGTTTGACATCGCCGGAAAAATGTCGCTGACCACACGTCCATGGTTGAAACCATCCGGATGGCGGCCGCATTTGCTCGAGGCGATGGCCTGGCTTAGTTCTGATATACGAATCCGGCAGATAGGACCAGACCAATGAATATTGGGTTTATCGGCGGCGGCACCATGGCCGAAGCTATTTTGGGCGGCGTCCTGGATGCCGGCATCGCCGCACCTGAATCCGTCACGATCGGCGAACCCGTGGCCTCCCGCCGCGAATACCTGGCCGATCGCTACGGAGTATCGGTGTCCGGTAAAAACGGCTCGGTGATCGAGCGTTCAGAGATCGTAGTGCTGGCGGTGAAACCACAGGATTTGTCAAAGGTGTTCGCTGATGTCCGGGGGTCCTTCTCCCAGAGCCAGTCACTGCTTTCAATCGTCGCGGGCGCGCGGATTGATTCGCTGTCCAGTGGCGCACAGCACCCCGGCATAATCCGGGTGATGCCCAACACTCCGGCTCAAATCGGCGCCGGCATGACCATGTGGACTTGTGCTGAGGCAGTCAACGACGAACACCGCGACTTCACCAAATCGATCTTGTCGACGGTTGGCGATGAGATATACGTTGATGACGAAAAAATACCTGGATATGGCCACCGCACTCAGCGCCAGCGGGCCGGCTTACGTTTTCCTGATTCTGGAAGCGCTTATCGACGCGGGCGTATATGTCGGACTCCCCAGGGACATCGCGAGAAGGCTCGCTTTGCAGACTGTAAAAGGCAGCGTGGAACTGGTTGTCAAATCGGGGAGCCATCCGTCCGAACTGAAGGACATGGTGACCTCCCCTGGCGGAACCACGGCAGAAGGGTTGCAAACTCTGGAGCGGGCCGGCGTGCCGGCAGCGCTGGTAGACGCCGTGAATGCCGCGTACCTCAAATCCATTCGCCTGGGCCAGGGATAGCTCCGCTCCCGTTGCGGAAAACTTACAATGCCGCAGATTCTTGCCCTGCTCAAACCTCCTGGTAACCCTGTGTTACTTATTACTGTTGGCACGCATTATCCTGGGATTCGTCGTCCAATATATGTCGACGCAGGGCAACCGAGCTCCGGAAGCATTGGTAACAATCTACGATGTAGTTTTCAGGATAACGGAACCGGTGCTTGGCCCGATTCGTAGTAAGTTGCCCCGAACGGGCACGGTGGACTTCAGTCCACTGGTCGTAATCGTCGTACTAATCGTAGTTCAAACAATTCTTAAGGCCTTGTTGTCGTAGCGGTGACGCATTCAGGGCTGAGCAACAGGTGTTAGCTCGTGCTGGAACCGCGGGGATCCAATAATCAGGAATTCTGGACTGCCGGTGGGCTGATCCCGTCCGACATCGATGTCCTCCGGGCGACGTTGTCCTTCCAGTCTGTTTCCACCGCAGAACCCGCGAATGGACCCGCGCTCATAATCCTCTGCGGATTGCCCGGGACAGGGAAATCTCACTTCGCACGTCAGTTGATCTCCCGAGCTTCCTTCGTCTGGATCAACAGCGACCGTATTCGAAAAACGCTGGTGACCGCACCGGAGTATTCCCGTCAGGAACACCGCCGCGTATTCTCGGCGATGAACGCAATCACTGCGGAGATATTGCGTGAGGGCCATTCGGTGGTGTTCGACGCCACCAATCTGAACGAACAGGTGCGCCGTCCTCTCTACGCTGTCGCTCACGACGCCGGAGTTGAACCCCTCATTGTCCGATTCACCGCTGATCCGGCGCTGGTCCGCCAACGCCTGAACGACCGCGCTGCCGGACTGAACGAATCGAGCGCCAGCGACGCCGACTGGATCATATACACCAGGATGTCAGTTGCCGAAAAGGACGTCCCACGCCCACACTTGAGGGTAAGCAAGCCCGAGGACACGGTTTCGGTTCTGGAAAAAGTCCTGCGGCGCGCCGGTTGCTTCATTCGTCCCGGTAAACGCGCCGGTTTCCTCGCTTCGGGGTCGAACGGATACCTCCGTTGGTAACGCATTCTTGTGCAGAGTTGTGCTATCCACCACGTGACTGCATAATCGGGCAATCACCGCGAATCCGATCCCACTCCACCGGAGCAAAACATGGCAACCAGCGTCGATGTCGTAACTGCCGATATCACTCACTACCCAACCCCGGCTTTGGTGGTGAACTTTTTTCAGGGCGTAACTCATCCCGGAGGAGGCACCGGAGCGATCGACGACGCTTTGGGCGGAGGCATATCCGGGCTCATCGCCGACGGCGAGATCACTGGCAAAGTTGGTGAGATGACTCTCATCCACACCATGGGGAAAATCCCAGCGGCTCGCGTCCTGGTGCAGGGACTCGGGAAGTCTGAAGATCTCGGACGCGGACCAGGTGCGTCGGATCAGCGGGAGCGTGGCGAGATTCCTCCGCGGCAAAGGGGTAAGCGACTACGCGACCATCGCCCACGGCGCCGGCATCGGCGGGCTGGACGTGAACGACAGCGGGCGTGCGGTTACGGAAGGCACGCTGCTGGGTCTGTACAAGTTCGATCATTACCGTAGCAATGGCAATGATGTTACTCCAGACGAAATGCTCGGAATCGCCGATGGCTCCATTCGTAACGTAACAATCGTCGAAATAGATGAAGATCGGGCAAACACTCTGCGCCGTGGGGTTGCAACCGGTCAAGTTCTTGCCGAGGCCGCCATGCTGGCCCGGGATCTGGTAAATCATCCCGCCAATGTAATGACGCCAACCCGCATGGCCGACGCCGCGCGCGGCGTAGCCGAGGCAACTGGGCTGGAATTTGACGTAATCGAACGAGAGGGCATGGTTGAGCATGGCATGGGCGCTTTGTTGGGAGTGGCCCAGGGCAGCGAGGAACCACCCAAGCTCATCGTCCTGAAATATCACGGCGACCCCGACCATCCCGAGAACAACCTTGGGCTCGTGGGCAAAGGCATAACCTTCGACACCGGTGGGATTTCGCTGAAACCAGCGGCGAACATGGAGGCTATGAAGGGTGACATGGCCGGCGGCGCGTCAGTGATAGCCGCGATGAGCGCCATCGGAACTCTCCAGCCCAAAATAAACGTAACTGGCCTAATTGCAGCGACGGAAAACATGCCGGGAGGTCGCGCACAACGGCCCGGCGACGTCGTAACCGCAATGAATGGAAAGACCATCGAGGTTATCAACACCGACGCCGAGGGAAGGCTGGTTTCGGCAGATGCCCTGTGCTACGCCCGCAAACTGGGTATTACCCGACTGGTTGATGTGGCCACCCTCACCGGCGCGATCGTTGTTACGCTCGGAAAAGTGTGCACGGGAATTATGGGCAATTCTGCGGCATTGGCTGGCGGGATCAAGTCTGCCGGTGAGAGGAGCGGCGAGCGTTTTTGGGAATTGCCCATGCTGGAAGATTATCGGGAGCTGATACGATCAGACGTGGCCGACATGAAAAACACCGGTGGACGGCAGGCTGGTTCCATTACAGCCGCCATGCTGCTCCGCGAATTGCCGAAGACGCCGAATGGGTGCACCTCGATATCGCGGGAACTTCCACCTCGTCCAACAATAAAGGGCATCTGGTCAAGGGCGCAACGGGTGTCCCCACCCGCACGCTGGCGCAGCTGGCCATTGCATTGGCCAACGGCAGTTGAACCGATAATTTCTCTCGACGGCATCGCAACGACACCCAGGAGGTGGACCCATGCCCAACAGTAGGCAGTGGAGATTTTACTTACGAAGTCCTCGACAACTGGGCTAAAACACCCGCCGGCTGGTCGATTGGACAGGCCGAACCGGCCTGCGATTCTCAAGACCGGGTCTACGTATTCAATCGCAGTGATCACCCGCTCATGATTTTCGACCGGGAAGGCAACTTCCTTCAGGAATGGGCAAGGAGTACCTGACCGACGCCCACGGCATATTCATCAGCGGCGAGGACCACGTATATCTGCCGGTGCGTGAATCCCACGCAATCGTGAAGTGTACATTGGACGGCAAACCGTTGATGACGATGGGTGTCTGGGACGCCCCGTCGGACACCGGCGGCGCCCGCCCTGACGGCACCATGTGGAAGAGCGGCCGGACCGTTCAATCGCTGTACCGATATCGCCCTGGCGCCCAACGGAGACCTGTTCGTTTCCGACGGGTACGCCAACAGCCGGGTACATCGGTTCTCGCCCGACGGCCAGCTCCTCCACTCTTGGGGACGTCCCGGGAAGCGAGGGCCGGGTGAATTTCACATCCCCCATGGCATCTGGGTGCACTGGGATGGCCGCGTCCTGGTGTGCGATCGGGAAAATAACCGCGTCCAGATCTTCACCGGCGAGGGCGAATACCTGGACATGTGGACCGATCTGGCCCGCCCGTGCGACATGTACGTAGACGGTGACGGAATCGCTTACGTGGTGGAACTTGACGCGTTCCTGACCATCCTGAACATGGATGGCGAAGTACTGGCCAAGATCGATATCGGCGGTTCCGGGGGTCATGCGGTATGGGCAGATTCCCACGGCGACCTGTACATCGGCCACAACCAAGAAGGTAGCAGGCTGGTCAAACTAGCCCGGCGTTAGACACCGATACCCCAACGATCCAAGGGCGGAACATCAGGAATGTCCGCCCTTTAATTATGCTCCAACCGACAACATTGACCCAGCCAGCTTGGCGATGTTCACGCCCGTCATCCGCCGACCCTGTACGCCCATCAGCCGCAGTATTCGGCCATCCCGGGTGATACGTATCCGGTCCAGCACATCCTGCCAGGGCGCCATGAAGTCGCACGTGCCGTCTCCGTTGGGATCGTCACCGCCCTCCAGGCTCTCACTTGAGGGCAACGTGAGGGCGATGCAGTTATCCAACTCGGCAGTGGACGCCATCAGAAGCACCGGCAGTTCGGTTTCGGTCAGTCCCGCCTGTTCCAGCAATCCGCGTACGGTCTCTGAAATGCCGTGCATCCCAAACACCACCAGATTCTCAAACGGGGCGTTCCGTTCCTCAAATACGGTGCGGTACTTCCGGAATATATCGTGGGCGCCCGTGCTCTGGGGTTTGACGAGAAACAGCGCGGCTGCTGGAAACTCATCCAACTGAGATTCTGCGGACGCCAACTCCTGCCGCCACCTTACGAGTTTGTCGTGGTCGTGTTCGTCATAGTGGTGGGACATATCGTCAGCCTCCGCCGGCGTCAAACTGCACCAGGATTCCGTCCGGATCGTAAACATAGAAACTGCTGACTTTCCCTTCAGCGTCGGTCCAGACATCCATGGGCGCCGCTAAGGGGATACCCTGTCCCGCGAGACTTGTAGCCAAGGCCTTGGTGTCGGGCACGCTGAACGAGATGTGGCTGATCCCCACTTGGTCCAACTTTATGGGTGTGCCATCCGTGGATTCGCCCGGATGACAGGTCATGGTCAGCGTGGGTTTGGCGCCGTCGGCGTAAGCCAACCGCACCTGTCGCCGGGTATTGCGGCTGTGAGCGTAGACATGGGGTAGCCCGCCCGTGGTGGTGTCTTGAATTACGTCGCTCACCACCGACATTCCGAGTGCTTCACAATAAAACTTCAGCGAAACATCCAGATCGCTGACGCAGATCGCGATATGCGACACTCCCGTAGAATTCATTGGCATAATGGCATTCTCCTTCTAGACATACCTGGCAGAAACTCTCCGCGTCCAGCAATTGCGGCCAATATTCAGCCGCCGCCGCTATCAAACTGCACCAGGATTCCGTCGGGATCGTAAACGAAAATGCTTGAAACTTCGCCGTTAGCGTTGGCGAATCCGTCCATGGGACCGGCCAGCTCAACTCCCTTGCTAATAAGCTCGTCGGCCAACGCTTTGACATCCGGTACCGTGAACGAAATATGGCTGATTCCCACCTGGTCAAGCTTGATTGGTCCGCCGTCGGTGTCATCACCGGGGTGGCTGGTCATAACCAGCGTCGGCACCGCTCCGTCTCCGTAGGTCAACACCGCCTGGCGCCTGGTTGATCGGTTGTGCGCGTAGACGTGGGGCAGGCCACCGGTTGAAGTATCCTGCATCCTGTCGACGGTAACCGTCATTCCCAGTATGTCCCGGTAGAACTCCAGCGCTTTGTCCAGATCGCGAACGCACACCGCGATGTGAGACACTCCGGACGATTGCATTGCCATGGTAGGCCTCCTGTGATCCGGTTGGAACCGATACGTCAATAGTCGTTCGTAATGCTACTGCCCGCGGTGGGTGATGTCAAAGTTGGTTGAACCATTGCCGGCATCGGCTTCACCCCATCGTTCCACTCGTTTCCACACGATGGTAAGAGCTGCCACTCCAAGCAACATCGCGGTAAGGTCGGTTGCCGGGAAAGACCACCAGACTCCCCACACCCCGAACGAACTGGACAGGACCTGTAGATAAACCAACAAAACGACGATCCGCTGAGCAACCGTCAACGCTACCGATGGCCAGGCTTTTCCCAGCGCCTGAAATGCGATTGAGCTGATGAATTCAATCCCCACTATTGGCAGGACCATCAAAACGACCCGCATGGCAACAGCCCCTTCTTCCGGCAGGGCGCCGGGCTCCGTGAAGAGGCGAATGATAACGCCAGACAGAGGTAGCAGCACCGCAGCGATCAGCGCGCCGCCGAGGGTTGCGCCCCAGGCAGCTTTGCCAGATGGCCTGCCGGACCCTGGCGTAGCTTCGGGCTCCATAGTTGAAAGCGGCCAGCGGCAGATACGCCAGCGCCACGCCGATGAAGGGAGCCAACGCAAACTCCAAAACGGAATTTATTACTCCAAACAACGCGATAAAGCTGTCTCCGTTGTCATAACCGCTGAGGATGTTGTTGATGACTACGACCACAAAACTGCGGGCCACTTCGATAAGACAAATGGGCAAGCCCAGCGTAATTACCGCCCAGACCAGCGGCAATCTCGGCCGCAACGCGTCCCGGGTGACTGTCAGGACGCTGCGGCCCGACAGATAAAACCACAACAGATACGCAACCACCGTTCCCTGGGCAATCACGGTTGCCGCCGCCGCGCCGGAAACACCCCAACCCAACACCAGCACGAACAACGCATCCAGCGCAATATTGAGAACGGCTCCGCCGGCCAGCAGGATCATTGCGATGGTCGGGCGGCCCTCTGCCATCAGATACTGGTTACAACTCATTGCAACCATTACCAGCAAGCTCCCTGGCAGAATGATGACCAGATATTCACGCCCGTAAGGCGCGGTGTTGGCAGACGCCCCCAACAGCCCCAGGATCGGTTCCAGTTGTAACAAACCGACAGTGACCAGGATCAGATACATCGGGAACACAATCGCCAGCGAAGACCCGAGGACTCGGGAGGCCCGCGCCGGGTTTTGTGCGCCCAGCGCCCGGGAGATTACGGACATTCCGCCCAGACCCGGCAGTAGTCCCAACCCGACGGCCAACAGCTGAGCCGGAAACGCAGCTGACAACCCACTCAACGCATCAATGCCCACGGCGCGCCCGACAAAAACCCGGTCCACGATGCTATACATCGCCATTACGATAATGGCGAGAGTAGGCGGGCCGGACATGTGGACAAGCAGTCGCCACATCGGTGCGCTTCCCATCGACTCAGCCTGAGGGGTAGTGCGTGGAGCGTCTGTGTTGGTCATGTGTTCCCTTTTGACCCCTTTGGAGCGGTAGTGCTACAATCAAGAATGATAATTATCGAAATTATGATGTCCGAAGGCATCCACCTGGACGCTCAGTTTTTGGCAGATTAATCACCCGCTCGAGGCGTCACGGAGGTTTGGAAATGTCAGGCCATTCCAAGTGGTCAACGATCAAACGGCAGAAAGGGGCCAACGACGCCAAGCGCGGCGCCCTCTTTACAAAACTGGCAGGAATATATCACTCGCGGCCAAAGATGGCAGCAGCGGCGACCCGGATACGAATTTCCGCTTACGCATTGCCGTAGATCAGGCCCGCGCCAATAACATGCCTTTGGACAACATAACCCGCGCCATCCGGCGCGCCACCGGAGGGGGTGGCGAAGGCATGGAAGACCTCGCCGAGGTGACCTACGAAGGCTACGGGCCCAGCGGCGGCGCAATCTTGGTCATGGCGCTCACCACCAATCGGAACCGCACCGCGTCAGAAGTTCGCTCCGCATTTAACAAGGGTGGCGGTAATCTGGGCGATTCCGGATGCGTGGCATGGAATTTCGAATCTCGTGGTGTGATCACCCTGGAAATCGCGGATGAATCGGTAGCCGAAGAACTTAGCCTCACCGCAATCGATGCTGAGGCAGATGACGTCAGGTTTGAAGATGGCATCCTTGAGGTATACACGTCTCCCGAAAACCTGTTCAACGTAAAGTCCGCTCTGGAAAACGAAGGCGTCCAGCCATCGTCGGCCGACGTATCAATGGTTCCGAAAACCATCGTTCCCCTGGAGGCCAAAGCGGCTGAACAAACCCTCCGGCTTCTGGACACTCTCGAGGAACTCGGCGACGTGCAGAAGGCCTACACCAACGCCGACTTTCCAGCGGAAGTGCTGGAGCGATACGGTGAATCGGGTGGGTAATCCGGGCCCAACTGACGTCGGCGCCGCCTGATGCGGGTATTGGCAATCGATCCCGGGACCTTGCGCATGGGCTACGCAGTGCTGGATGCGCATCCCGGGCCGACAGCGGACGACTACGGCGTGGTTTCGTTACCCGCCACGATGCCCATCGAAGTGCGGCTGTACCAACTCCACACCCACATTCTGAATATGATCCACATTTTCCAGCCGGACGCCGTTGCGGTCGAGGACCCTTTTATCGGCAAGGGTGATCGGGCGTTTGTCAAATCCGCCATGGCAATCGGACAGGCGCAGGCCGTAGTCCTGATCGGCTCCGCCAGCCAGGGAATCCCGGTGTCCCGCTACTCTCCAGCAGCAGTTAAGAAATCGGTGACGGATTACGGAGCGGCTACCAAGGAGCAGGTTCAGCGCATGACCGCGGCCACCCTGAACCTGGAGGAAGTTCCAGCGTCCGATGCCGCGGATGCGCTGGCGGTGGGACTCTGTCACCTCTTGCAAGCCTCCCCGACTGACCTGACTGCGCGGGAGATCGTCCCGGGCGAGGAACTCTAGGCAGTGTTGGTCGGCGTGCACGGCACGCTGCAGGCCGTTGGTTCCGACTGGGTCAACGTGCAAGTCGGTGGTATCACGCTCCAGGTATTCGTACCCGCGTCCGCCGTGATCAACCTGGGTGAGGTCGGAGGTACGGTTCAGCTCAACACGGTTCTCCGAATCCAAAACGAACAACCCGTGCTGTACGGTTTCCCCAACGTGGAATCGGTGGAGATGTTCGGGGCGTTGACAAGTGTATCGGGTATCGGGCCGCGTTCCGCTCTGTCGGTGCTGTCCGAACTGGGCGGCGACGGATTGCGTCAGGCAGTGGCGTCAGAAGACGTGCCTGCGTTGACCCGAGCGCAGGGTGTGGGTCGGCGCATGGCACAACGTATCATTCTTGAGCTTCGCGGCAAACTGCCCGATGCTTTCGGCGACCAGGTTGGACCAACGGCGCCCGACGGCAACAGCGCGCAGGCAATTGAAGCGCTCAGGGCTTTGGGAGTATCTCTAACCGAGGCACGGCAGGCCATCGGATCCCTGGAGTCGCCCGAATCTATTTCTGTCGAAGACCTGATCCGCCAGGCGCTGCTGCGTATCGGCGGTTCTTGACTACCACGCCTCCACCATTCCGCTATAATACCCAGAGTATTCGCAACAGCCGGGTGAGGAAAAATGGCTGATTTCCAGTTGGTAGCTGACTTCGGATTGATGGGTGATCAGCCGCAGGCTGTGGACCAGTTGACGGCCGGCTTGACGGAAGGTTTGCGCCATCAAACGCTTCTGGGGGTTACCGGAAGTGGCAAAACTTTCACGATGGCCAACATTGTGCAGCAAGTTCAGCGCCGACCATCGTCATTGCGCATAACAAAACCCTGGCAGCGCAACTGGCCACCGAATTCAAGGAATTCTTCCCTCACAACGCGGTCGAGTACTTCGTTTCCTATTACGATTATTACCAGCCGGAAGCGTATATTCCACGTACCGATACCTACATAGAAAAAGACAGCAGCGTTAACGAAGAGTTGGATAAACTGCGCCTCTCTTCCACAACTTCGCTGCTCACACGACGCGACACTCTCATCGTGGCTTCGGTGTCCTGCATCTACGGCTTGGGTGATCCGTCCGATTATTTCGAAATGGTAGCCCGCGTACATGTCGGCGATGAATACAACCGGCGGGCTTTGTTGCGTCAGCTCATCGACATGCAATACGAGCGCAACGACACGGATTTTGGCTCGCGGTCGATTCACCGTCAGGGGGGACACCCTGGAGATTGTGCCGGCATACGAGGAGTTCGTGGTTCGCATCCAGTTTTTTGGTGATGAAGTTGAACGCATCCTGACGTTGGATGGTTTGACCGGCGAAGTGCTCAACGAGCGTTCGGAAATCGCCATATACCCAGCCAAGCATTTCGTCACGAGCCGCGAAAAACTGGACGCGGCATTAATCGATATCGAAGCCGAAATGCACGAGCAGGTGGATTGGTTCCGACAACTTGGCAAGCCGCTGGAAGCGCAACGCCTGGAGCAGCGTACCCGCTACGACATGGAGATGCTGGACGAAACCGGTTTTTGCGCCGGGGTGGAAAACTACGCACGACATTTGTCGCGCCGACCGTCGGGCAGCGCTCCATGGACGTTGCTGGACTATTTCCCCGACGACTTTCTCATGTTCGTTGACGAATCACACATGACGCTTCCTCAAGTCCGGGGGATGTATAACGGCGACATCGCGCGCAAGAAAACCCTGGTCGAATTCGGTTTCCGCCTGCCGTCGGCGCTGGACAACCGACCGCTGCATTTCCAGGAATTTGAAGAGCACATCAATCAGGTAGTTTTCGTTTCCGCGACGCCGGGACCGGTGGAGATGCAAAAATCCAGCCTCGTCGTAGAACAGGTGATTCGTCCCACGGGTTTGCTGGACCCCACCATCGAAGTTAAACCCACCACCGGGCAGATCGACGACCTGCTGCACGAGATTCGTCAACGTATCGAACAACAGGAAAGGGTGCTCGTCACCACGCTAACCAAACGGATGGCTGAGGAGTTGGCGGATTACCTGTCAGAAATGGGCGTCCGCAACCACTACCTGCATTCCGATATTGAAACGCTCAACCGGGTTGAGATCCTGCGCGATCTGCGGCTTGGTGTGTTCGACGTCGTCGTCGGCATCAATCTGCTGCGGGAGGGCCTTGACCTTCCTGAGGTCAGCCTGGTAGTGATATTGGACGCGGACAAAGAAGGGTATTTGCGTTCCGAAACCTCGCTGATACAAACCGTTGGACGAGCGGCGCGGCACTCGGCGGGCCATGTCATCATGTATGCCGACCGAACTACCGATTCCATGCGAAAAGCCATCGACGAAACATACCGGCGACGCGAGATTCAACACTCCCATAACCTGCAAAACGGCATCGAACCGCAATCCATCCACAAGGCCGTGAAAGACATTACCGAAGGTTTGCGGCGGGTGGCCGAGACAAAGGCGGCCTACCGAGTCGCCCGCGAAGAGATGTCCCGCGACGATATGTACCGAGTGGTAAAAGATCTCGAGTTTCAGATGAAAGACGCGGCGCGCTCATTGGAGTTTGAGAAGGCAGCCCACCTTCGCGACGAAATGCTCGAATTGAAAAAACTGCTCATCACCGAAGAAAAAATGATGGCCGTCAGCTAGCCTGCGACCCCGGCCGGCGCTGGACCAGGGCGTTTCACCAACCTCCAACCCGGTGCAACGCCGGGCGCTTACTGTAACTGAGCCAGGTTGGTCACCAGGTTATAGACAAACCATCCTTCAGTAGTGTGGAAACTCACCGGTTTGGCAGTCTGAGTATCACGCATAATACCATCCTCCAGAACCTGACCCACCGCAGTCTCCCAGCCCTCAGCGAGCAGCTCGCGCTGCTAAGCCGGCGAAATCGCAGATTCCCGCAGGGCAGCTTTCAGATGGTCCAGCGGACCCTCGCCGTCAACAGGACTCAGCACAGCGGTCCGGGCATCCGCCATCAATCCGTGGCGAGCCTGCTCGACTTTGGCCAGATTTGCGCGGTACGCCTCGTCGCACTCCCGGTGCGTGTTGCGCAAAAACCCGGCTTTCTGTCCACAATGTATGCAGTCGGCCATCGTAGCGACTCCTTCGATCTTCCAGAGGGCCCGATTGACGCTATCGCGGGCCCGGATTCAATCAACGGCATCAATCATCAGACCCGTTATTATGGTGTATGTCCATCCGGCGAGAGGCAGACTGCAATGCACCGGCGATCCAGCGTTTCCGGTTTCTGAGAATACCTACCGCCGGCTAACTGCCTTGGGCCAATTGCCCGTCCACGTGGTCATGCAACGCATTCAGAATCGCCGCATTCTCCTCAAGGGTAAATTCGTCCACCAGATAGTCGTGCTCGCCGCTGACTCCGCTGACGGCTCCGGCGTCAACCAGGTACCGGATGAGCGCGCCGTCGGTCTCCACGTCTGGCAACAGGTTTCGCCCAACCTGGTTGGATAGCGCGGCCACCAGCCCATAGCCGCCCCAGTTGGAAGTACTGGCGACGATAAGTCGATCGCAGCCAACATTGGCCGGGTAATCGGGCAACTGGTCCGCATCCCTGATTACGGGCGCTAAATTGGCCATCCCGATCTCGTTTCCACCGTCTCCAATCCCAACCGACGGTATGTTCGACTGAAACAGGCCGTCGATTCTGGCAGTCTGCGGGGAAATATCGCGGCCTCGCATGTTCCGGTACACACCGCCGTCATCCGGGGAGCATCGCTCAATGGCTATCAACAGCGCGGGTTCAACTTCGGCCAGGATATTCGAGGCCAGTTGTCGATTGGTATCAGGATCGTCGGTAATCGCGAACTCAAGCAACCGCGACGGATCGCCCCGCTGCGTCAACCAGGATTGCATCATACCGGCCATCGGCGAATCAACAACGTAGGTAACGTCGTTCCCCATCGTTCGCAGGGCGTCCCCGATTGCTATCGCTCCCGGAGGACCGTCCGTTTCCGGCGCGTCGCTCATGAGGATGTAAAAACCCGGTCACTATTATCACCGGCCCAGGATTCTCCAGGATGTACCGAGCAGCCTGCCGGCAATAATCGTCGGGGAGATGGGGCCGCAAAATCCCCATACCCCGCCGGTCGTGAGTCAATACGATATCTTCAATTGTGTCGGTCATAATCCTGTCAGCATCAAATGACCGCATATTCTGCGTCACGACGATCGGTGATAAACATCTTGCCAGGGGAATGGGTAATCATCAGCGGTGGCTTGCAATTCAGGGCTACCGCCTGCGGAGTAACTCCACAGGCCCAAAAAACCGGGACTTCTCCGGCTCGAATCTCAACAGCATCGCCAAATTCGGGCGCTTCCAAGTTCCGGATACCGATGGCTCCCGGGTCGCCGATGTGAACCGGAGCGCCGTGGGTGTCCGGGAAACGGGACGTAACCTGAACCGCCCTCACAATCTTATCCTGCGCCACCGGACGCATACTCACAACCATTGGCCCGGAAAACACGCCGGCGGGTTGCGTTGCGATGTTGGTGATGTACATCGGCACGTTCGATCCGGCCTCCTGATGCCTGATTGGAATCCCGGCATCAGACATGGCGGCTTCAAATGAAAAACTGCATCCCATCAGGAACGACACCAGGTCGTTACGCCAGATTTGCTCAAGGGAGGGTATCTCCGCAACCAACTCTCCGTGCTCATACACCCGGTAGGATGGAACGTCGGTGCGAATATCGGCGCCGGGCGCGGTAAACGATGGCTCTACTTCACCGGCGTCAATCACTTCAAGCAAAGGGCACGGCCTGGGGTTGCGCTGGCAAAAGAGAAGGAAATCGAACGCCAGGTCGCGCGGTAACACGGCTAAATTAGCCTGGACGAACCCGTTGGCTAAACCGGCAGTTACGCCATCGTAACTGCCTGACCTGATCATCCCCCGAATGGCGGGGGGGTCTGCCGGTAATGTGGCGGTGGTGGTCATCGTCGTTTCCTCCTGGGTTGTGTGCCAGACCGGTGGCGAAAACTGGTTACATGAACCGTTAATCCTATATGCTAAAATTGCACGTTTTCAACGCAATGATAGTCAGGCTTTATTGCATCGTCAATTTGCTTCTTTGGAGTGGGCTCCGTTAGGCTGGGTTGGTACGATACGTTGCAGCGGCATAACACCACGGCGCACATCCCTACTGTAACACCCCCTACCGTAACGAGGCGCAGTACCAAATCACAGCCAATGGCCTGGCATCTCCGATACGGCGGTTGAAGTCGCCCGGCGCACCATGAGGTAAAAAGGTTCTGCTCTGTGTATTCGGTATTCTTGCTCACTCGACCGGGCAGCGGAATGATTGCTTTGGTCCATGAAATCGACCAGGCCGGTATTTGGTGTCGAGCCGGCAGCGAAATTTTCGAACTGGAAGAGTCAGCTCAATCCAGCAGTTTGGATGCTGTGCTCCTGGACCTTGCGGCGGTGGGAATCGGCGCCCAGGCGGTCGTTGAGCAGGTCTCTCAACTCCAATTGCCCACTCTCCTGGTGCTCGACCACAGTGCGCTGGAACAATACGACCCGTCGATCGCCGCCGACGATTTCATCGTCACTCCACTGTTGGCATCGGAACTGCAGGCGAGAATCGCGCAAATGGTTTTTCGCCCGCAATGGCCATGCGGTGGAACAGTTGATCCGCGTCGGAGAGCTTACCATCGATCTGCAGAGTTACGAAGTGAACATGGGAGGACGCCGTGTCTCCCTCACTTACAAAGAGTTTCAGTTGCTGACACTACTGGCCTCCAATCCAGGCCGTGTTTACACCAGGGAAGCGCTGCTCAATCAGGTTTGGGGATACGACTACCTCGGCGGAACCCGCACGGTTGACGTGCATATTCGTCGTCTCCGGTCCAAGATCGAAGACCCGGATCATCTATTCGTAGAGACCATCTGGAACGTCGGTTACCGTTTCCGGGACATGGACAACGCGGCCTGAATTCCGATTCCCGTATGCCCTAATCCCCGATATGCTGCTCAGCGCGGGTCAGGAACCGGTCCCGTTCCTCGGCAACGCCAGCATGCCTGGGATCGGTTAGTTCCGGGTCGGCCTCCATGATATTGGCGGCTTCTCTTCTGGCCAGCGCCATCAGATCCTGGTCAAATAGATTGGCGATGCGCAGGGCCGTTTGTTCGCCGCTTTGAGATGTGCCGAAGATATCTCCTTCATGGCGTATCTGCAAATCGATCTGTGCCAACTGGAAACCGTCCCGCGTTGATTCCAAAGCTGCCAGCCGCTCCAATGCCCGTTCCGATTCGGACTCCGACATCAGCAGGCAGTAACTTTTGTATTCCCCGCGCCCAACGCGACCCCGAAATTGATGCAGCTGCGATAGGCCAAAATCGTTCCGCACCGTCTATCAGCATCACGGACGCATTCGGGACATCTATCCCCACTTCCACCACTGCCGTTGCGACCAGAATGTCCAGGTCTGCATCGCGAAACTGTCTCATCACACGGTCCTTTTCGCGTCCCGGCATTCTTCCGTGCAACAATCCCACCCGCAGGTCTGCAAATACTTCACCCGACAACCGTTTGTGCTCGTCCACCGCCGCCTTCACGTCCAGTTTATCGGATTCTTCCACCAGCGGGCAGATGATAAAAGCCTGTCTGCCGGCCGCGACCTGCTGCCGAACGAATGAATATGCCGCCTGACGTTTATCCTCCGGCACGATTCTGGTCAGAATCTCCTGACGGCCCGGCGGCAGTTCTTCTATCAGCGACACATCCAGGTCCCCATAGAGGGTGAGTTGCAACGTCCGCGGGATGGGAGTTGCTGACATCATCAGCGAATGCGGTTGTTCCTCTCCCTGATTGCGCAGCGTCGATCTCTGCGCGACGCCAAATCGATGCTGTTCGTCCATTATCGCAAGCGCCAGATTAGGAATTTCCACACCTTCCTGGATCAGCGCGTGCGTTCCCACCAACAGATCCATGTGCCCCTCAGAAGCCATCCGCAAAACTTCTTTCCGAACTCGCGCGCGTGTGCTGCCCGTAAGCAGTCCCGCGGTAAAGGGACGGCGCATATTGGGCAGGTAAACCGTAATCACGTTATCTTGCTGTACCGGGTTCTCGAATTCGTTCAACAACCCTCGCACCGTCCTGAAATGCTGCTCCGCCAATACCTCGGTCGGGGCCATCAATGCGGACTGCAGCTGTGCCGACGCAGCGGCGAGCACGGCCGTCAGCGCCACGACGGTTTTCCCC